TTTTCTTGGTTGTTCTCTGATTCCAAAGCAGGTGGTTAAAAAAAGAGGCAGAGGCCTTGATAGTGAAGTGAGGATATAAACCCCTGAAACTGTTTGTCATAAAGAATTCCATGCCCAGTAAAAGCAAAGGCAGATGTTCACATAAAGTTTTTGCCGTTTGTGTTTTTGTGGAGGGACTTTTTGGGTATGTTTATTAGTCAGGCATGGCAGCATCTGATCACCAATGGTGTCGTACAATAGCAGTCTTACAATCCATTTATGGGACTGGAATTATTTTTGTTAATGATTTTCATGGGAGTAGATGAAACGCCATGTATACCATCTGTAACTATGTTTACTATGCAGCTGCCTTCCTTAGAAGAAGAGTGCGCGCGCACACACACACACACACACACACACACACACACACACACATCAGAAACGTTTGTCTCAATTGTCAAAGAAGTGTTTTATCTCCAAGTCTAAAGAAGGGATAGAACCGTATCTGTTTCCTACTCCTGCTATAACAAACACAACTGAGAGACTTAACCCAACACACATGTATTATCTTGTCATTTGTGAGTCAGAATGACTCTCATGGGATTGGAAATGCCAGTATCAATAAGCCTTCATTCCTTTCAGAGGCTGAGGTAGAGATGCTGTTGTCATCAGTGTTCCAGCTTCCAGAGGCTGCCTGTATTCCTTGGCTTGTGCCTCATCTTCAGAGCTAGTAGATGGTTATGTTCTCTCTGCTGCTCTCTATTTCCATCCTACATCTTAAAAAATTTTCACCTTCTCTCCTTCATTAAGAACTCCTATGCTTGTATTGTGCCTACTCAGATAATCTCTCCATGAGGGGGTAGAAAGATTGTAAGAGCCAGGGTTGGTGCAAGAACACAAGGAAACAGGGACTTTCAGACCACTGAAAACCATGCCAACTCAATCAGACAAAAATCCAGCATGGAGCGGGGGAAATGGGCAGCAGGCCCCAGCCCCAGCCAAGAAACTATTGGCAAATGATTACTATGGGGTGAGGGAGAATAGATAGATCTTCCTTAAGCAAGTGAGTCTAAATAGGCTGACTAGACTCCAGTAGATGAACTTACACTGAGGGACACCTGGATAGAAATGCTTGACCAGATAGGATTTAACATATATGACAGAACACCTGAAATCTGGTGGGAAGGTTGGGGAGCAGGGACTGGAGAGGAGATCCAAATTTGATTATGATGTATTATATGAAATGCACAAACTCAATGAAAATATTAAATATGGAAAAAAACCTTCACCTTAATTACAGTCTGCATAGTACCATTGACTATGTGTGTTACCTTTCTTTTACTATGACAAAATATCAGAGCTCCTTGACTTACAAAAGGAATTATTTACTTTAACTCATGATCTTAGTCTATCATCAGTTGCCCTCGTTGCTTTGGGGCCTGTAAGGAGACAACAACACATCATCACAGGAACACAGGACAGAAAAGTTGCTTATCTTGCTGTGTCTGGGAGAGGATAAAACAGGATACCTACACTAATGTTACGAAACGTCCTACCAGGCCTCCTCTACTAAAGGCCTTCACCATCGCCCAGCAGTGTGCAAGATGAGAACTAAGCCTTTGCGGGACATTTCAGACCTAAAAGCTAGTATACCATAATATTTGCAGGTTGTTAGGTTAAGATGCGGTCATATCCAGAGCAGAGCCTTTCCACATTCTGCCTACCACAGGAACCATGGAGACCAAGCAGCAAGGGATCCATCTCAGCTCACCAAGCTAACCTGTGACAGTTGCATGTCTGTATCTCTAGGATCCTCTAATGCACATCACTGACAAGGGGGGCAGGAAAATTCTCTGGTGGAGGCTTTATTTTAATAAGCTTGAAATTACTGTGGGGTGATACAGGATTAATTCAGTAATTTTTTTACTTTTTATTAAATTTGTATGAATTTCATTTTGAATATACTTTGATTATATTTGGATCCTGTTCCCATATCTGCAGCCCCCTGCTACTACCCACCCAATTTCATGTACTCTAATGCGTGCGTGTGTGTATGTGTGTGTGTGGGGGGGGGACTATAGAGTCAAATTGGTGTCCTCAAATGTCCTTCGATGTGAGTTCATCCACTAGAGCCTGGTCAACCCACCAGGAGTCTCACCATTAAATGAGATTGACTCTCCCCCTCCCAGCAGCCAACACTGTCAAGTCCTCAGGTAGGGTTGGGATTTTTTACCTATTTTTTTTTTCATATCTATGTTGGAATTTTGTCTGGTTTGATCTTACATGAGACTTGTATAGGATATCACCATTGCTGTGAGTTCATATGAATAACTGACCAGCTGTCTGGAAAACTGTTTTCTTGTGGTCGTCCACCTCCTCTTGTTCTTACAATTTTTCCACCCCCTCCTCTGTAATGATCTCCGAGCACTGGGCCAGAAGTTTGATAGAGATGTTCTATCGGGGATAAGCAGTCCGCAGCCTTTTATTCTCTGCACGCTGGGCAGTTGTGCTTCTCTGTGTTAATCTGCTGCGTGAGGAAGCTTCTCTGCTGCGAGCTGAGAGGTGCGTTTCAATGATTTTTTTTTTTGAAAAGATCAATATAAGAGAGTGTCCTAGTTTGTTTCTTTATTGCTGTGACAAAGCACTCTGACCACTACCAACTTGGGGAGGAAAGGGTTTATTCATCTTACATCTCCCAGGTCACAGTTCATCCAGGAGCCCAAGGTAGGAACTCAGGGCAGGAACCTGGAGGCAGGAGCTGGCGCACAGGCCATGGAGGAACGCTGCTTACTGGCTTGCTCCCCTGGCCCCTGCTCAGACTGCTTTCTTACGTAACACAGGCCCACCTGCCCAGGGATGGCACCACCCACAGTGGGCTGGTCCCTCCCACATCACTCAACAATCAAGAAGGTGCCCCATGGACATGGCCACAGGCCAGTCCAATGAAGGCAATTCCCCTACTGAGGCTCCCTCAACCCAGGTGTGTCAAGTTGACACTAAAGCTATGCAGCACGGAGAGACAGAAATTTATACTTTTTAAAGTGCATTCTCTTTTATTTATTTTTATTTTATGTGTATGAGTGATATTATGCCTATAGGTGTGTAAGTGCACCCATGTCATGCAGTGCCCATAGAGGAAAGAAAAGGATGTTGAATCCCCCTGAAACTGGAGTTACAGATGGTTGCTAACCACCATGTGGGTGCTGGGATTTGAACCCAGATCTTCTGCAAGAACAGCCAGTGCTCTTAACTGCTGAGCCTTCTCTTCAGCCTCAAAAGTACACTCCTAATGGAAGAATTTCACTAAATATATGATTTTACAACTACTTAGTACCTTATAAACATGCTAAGTGATTTTCAGGAACAGCATAGTTTGCACAGTAATATACAAGGGTATCAAAGATGCAGCAGTCCATGCATAAATTTTCCTACTTCTGCTCCTGCCCTTCTTTCTTCCACCTCTTCCTTCTCTTTTTTCCTCTATAACTTTGACCATTGCTATCATCTTGAAAATCATTCATGTTGAGAAAACCAATTCAAACTCCTTAAACTAAAGGGAATGGACCCACCAAAGGCTCGATGGCATGGATTAAACCAAATTAGGTAATGACTATATTTCTCAATGAAACCTAGCTTTTGTCGGTGTTGAAGTATATGTCTGGAAATCTGCCCACTGGAAATGATGAGAAGGTCATAGAATTTTGAATTTGGATGGAAATAACCGTGCCATCTAAGTTCTTCCAAGTGATGCAGCTGTTCAGCGAATGTTTTGCAGACTCCTCTCTAACCTGGGTTTTCTTTGTCATGGCCTGGGCAGGAATGACTGCTGCTGTAAGTTAAAGGCTGCATTCTACTTGAGTTTCTGATATGACAGGAAAATGTGGGAAGCCTGTGGTATGATCAGTGTTCATCTGCTTCAGGAATCACTACCTGGCTCTGCTCCTCCTGGGCAGAGTTGGGTGTTCCCAGTCTCGAGTCTCACAGCATCATCAAGGAGGTTCCTCATTGTTCCTATCATTTTATTCTTTCCTTGAAATTCAGCCTAATCCAGGGCTGAACACAAAGCACACACATATACTACTTACACCGTGGGCCGATTAGTCCATGGATTATCACCCACCCAGATAATCTCTGGGCAGAAGACACGGGGCTCCTACACCTCAATGGAAGAACTGAACATCGTGGTAAATATTGAAGGTATAGATTTTTATAAATATAAAGTTAGAATGGTGGCTCTTCCTCTTACTTCAATAATTTTGTTAAATCTAAGAAAATAGGACTGGAAATCCCAGAGAGATTTGTCCTAAGAGATGTTTTACTGTGACGCTGAAATTGAGCAGACGGTTTTCCTTTGGATATCTGCACTCAGCATTAAATGTAATTTTTCCTGCCTATCAAATGATCACGTTCTTCAGCTGCTGGAACATTAGGTTAATGACACAATGCTGAACCAAACAAAGATAGAGTTAGGTTGCCAAGCTCCTGTCTAGCATTGATGGGGGTGGTCATAAAAATAACTCCTTCCCTCCGTTTGGTCCTGACAACCCATGAAAAAAACAACCTTGCATATGCCAAATGACACTTACTTTGAAAAGCTTTAAATACCTTCAAGATTGAACATGGTTGATTCTCACATTGTTCTTGTCAAGAAGGAAAGCAGGGCACCGTGGAGTGCTAAATATTTGGTGTACTCTGGACACATTGCAAAGATGAAATAGCTTAAAAGACAGTGTTAGCACTAAAGCATCAGGGGTAATTCTACCCAACAAAGAGGCCATAGGTAAAATGGGCCTGTGATAAGAAAATCTGACCAGAAAGGATCATGAATACAAATCTTAGAGACACTGATCAAGACTGACAAGATTCAGGTCAGGGTAAATACCATGACAACACCCAGTGATCTCCACAAGTGGGAAAGTCAAGTGACTGTTTTTCTTAATTTCACCACCTTGTAACTTAGGATTCTTTTATTTTCCTGCCCTTCCTCCCAGAATAATTCTACAATTTCTTTTTGCTTCTAGTTCCTTCTTTCTGGGGATTGGTGAACTCAGCTTGGAATCTTTGCTCCGTGGGGAAAAGGCAGTCGCCAGTCAACATAGAGACCAGTCACATGATCTTTGACCCCTTTCTGACGCCTCTGCGTATCAACACTGGAGGCAGGAAGGTAAGACTTCATAATGCTTCCATGATGCTGGGTGATACTAAATTATCAAAACTGGTATTCTGGACCTTAGTCTCTGCGATGAGTTTATTTTTCCACATAGAAATATAACCGATCTAGGCCGGGCGTAGTGGCACACGCCTTTAATCCCAGCACTCAGGAGGCAGAGGCAGGCGGATCTCTGTGAGTTGCCTGGTCTACATACTGAGTTCCAGGACAGCTGGGGCTACAGGGAGACCGTGTCTCAAAAAGACGCCCCCCCCCAAAAAAAGAAAAGAAATATAACCGACCTCAAGACTGCTGCTGACAAATAAATGTCCAAATTGTGCTTTTCCTCCTTAGTCAAACTTATGTGCTTCTTCTAATTAATATGGGACCCCTGAAAGCCGCTGAGGTCCTATCCCATGAAGGTCAGAAAAGAGCTGACTTCCCTGTGTACCATGCTGGGAAAAGCCTTCCTCTGAGACTCTTTCCTGGGCCTCATTGAACTACAGTGAATTGGAGGGAATTTTTTTAAACAAAAGTAAAAAAGTTTATCACCCTGGGAGAGAAAACAAACAACAATCACCTTAGATGATTTATAAGAAAATCAATAATTAATCTTCCTAAGGGCATCTCTCTGGTTAAGAATCCGGCCTTCTGCCCAGAAATGCTGAGCTGTGCTTTGTGATTCTCAGGCCTGAATCCCTGCTGCCCTCTGCTCATGCCATGAGCTCCTCCTTAATTTGCGAAGGGCATCGTGCCCGCAGGGTCGGTGCATTGCTAGAATCCAGCGTTTCTTTTGCTGGCTTCTTTCTGTTTGGCTACCTTTTACTGTTGACAAGGATATTAGAAGTGGGAAAAATGCATACACGTAGAAAATTGTGTTTGAAGGTGATTTCTTTGTTGTGAATTCAAGAGAAATGAAAAGTCACTTGTGGGTTTGAAATTATAGACAATTTTTATTCCTGCAGCTCGTTCTCTAGGGCTTGGGTGGCTTGGGCTCTGCCACTCTTCCTCCTATGCGTCTATTCCCCAGACACACCATGCAATTTCTATGGGGGTTTTTTTTCCCCTTTCTGATATACTGGAACATGTTTCCTACTCTCTCTCTCTCTCACTCTCTCTCTCTCTCTCTCTCTCTCTCTCTCTCTCTGAATGACGAACCAGAAACTTGTTAGTGATTTTGACTCAGGTCACAAGCCAAGTTTTAATAGTTACCGTGTGGGGACTGGGAAGATGGATGAGTGGGTGAAGTGGTTATGGTGACTGCACTCCCCCTGCTTTGTGAGTGAAGACAGGGAGACGTCTGACCAAAATGGCAAGTTCCAGATTCAGCAAGAGACCTTGTCTCAAAAAATAGGATGGAAAGCAGATGACCTCTGGCTTCCACATGCGCATGCCCAAGTAAACACACCTGCAGACACATGGGCAAACACACACGCATATACCCTCCAACACACACACACATTTAAAAAAATAGATAAAAACACTATTGTATGTGAGATTGAGACATATTAGCTATGCAGTTATTGGATGCTGCTTTTAAAATTGCTCAAGAATCGTTTTGGGGGAGCTGGAGAGATGACTCATCAGTTAAGAGCACTGATTGGAATCCCAGCACCCACATGGTGGCTAACAACCATTAGTAACTCCAGTTCCAGGGACTCTGACACCCTCTTCTGTCCTCCACAGGCACTGCATGACATGGGTGCACTTACACACATGCATACATAATACTCATACACGTAATATAAAAATAAATTAATGAATAAAAAGAATCATTTTTGTGGAAAGAGCCCATCTGCATTACTTGGTTGATTGCTCTGATTCTCTAGAAAACTAAGATACTCTAATTGTTCCATTTGCAATTTTATTTTTATAAACTCTAAAAGGAACTTGATATGGCTCCTACACACACACACATCTCAATGCATAAATCATTCTTTTGAAGTCACAGGCGTGAGTTTTCTGGTTAGCATTTAAGAACTGAAATTTTCAGGACTTTTTGAATATTTTATATATTATTCTCATTTTTTATATATGAGTATATTGCCTGCATGTATGTTAAGTGCAGTGCACCCATGTCATGCAATGCCCAAGGAGGTCAGAAGAGGGTGTCATAGCCCCTGGAACTGGAGTTGTGGATGGTTGTTAGCCACCATGTGGGTGCTAGGATTTGAAACCAGGTCCTCTGCAAGAGCAGCCAGTGCTCTTAACTGGTGATCCATCTCTCCAGCCTCAAAAGTTTCGGTTCTTAATAAATATTGAATCTTCTTTGTTAGTGATGATAATGAAGAAATAAATGTGTTCAGGTCAAACAGAAAAACAGTAAAATCAAGAATAGCCCAGGACAGAATGAGGTTTGGTGCCTGGGTTCATAAATCACTTAAAAGGTAGCCAGCCAGGCTGAAGGACAGAAACCAAGGGCAGGTGCTTGTGGATCTGGGTGAGCATGGCAAAGATGGAAGAGGCCAAATCTAAGGCTAAGGACTGAGTCTTCTTCTCAAGATTTGCAGGATGTTCAGTCTTTAAAATTTTTATTACAGAAAACTTATTCATTTCCTTGGCTAGGTTATTGGTAGGTACTTTATTAGATTTTTTATAATATATGTTATTGAATTTTTGTTCATTTCATACAATACATCTTAATCATATTTAGACCTCATCCAGGCTATGGTGAATGGGATTGTGTTCCTGATTTCTTTCTCAGAATGTTCATTATTGGTATGAAGGAAGGCTACTGATTTTCACATGCTGATTTTGTATCCTGACTTTACTGAAAGTGTTGACCAGATCTAAGACTTTTCTGGTGGAATCTTTAGGACCTTCCAAGTATAGGATCATATCATATACAGCTAAGGATAGTTGACTTCTTTCTTTCCTACCCATATCTTTTTTATTTCCTTCTCTTGCCTTATTACTTTAGCTAAGATTCTCCGAGCACAATATTGAAGAAAGCAGACACTCTTGTCTCATTCTTGATTTTAAAGGAGGTGCTTTCATTCTTTTCCCAGAGTAAAATGTTGGCTATAGCTTCGTTAAATATAACCTCTGAGAGGGGAATAAGAGAGGGATATGTAGCAAAAGGAAAATAAACATTGCGTGTTTTCTGTCAAAGGCCGAATTTAGATGTACAGGCTTACATATGGGGGTCTATTTTGTGGAGGAAGGGGACCAGTCGGAGAGGGAGGGAGGGATAAAAGATGGTCATGAAGGGTTGACTATCAGCAAGTAAAAGTGACATGCATGTATGAGCATAACATAATGAAGTCCATTATTTTGCATGCTAATTTAAAGCATTAATTTTTTAAAGGTAAAAATGTTCCAGCATTTACTTTGAGGGGTCATTAGGTAAAATGTACACTGGAGAAGAATAAGGAAGCTCAAAGATAAGCTCACATACCTTCAGATCACAGTCTACCTTCCGCCAGGTCATCTTAGGGGAAAATGTTGATGTGAAGGAAACAACACAATTTCTTCCCTAAAATGTGTTGGGAAAGAAGAGATTGAGGCTGGGCAATAAACTCATGTTAAAACTGTCTCACGAGTTAGGGTTTTGTTGTTGGTTTGAGCCTTTATTTATTTATTTTTTTGAAAAGTGAGTTTTTTATCTTTTCAGTTCAGTAAATTGTACCTGTTCCAAATCAATTTGCAAATGCATCAGAGTTTGTGATTTTGGAAACGTTTACTTTTGACAATGAAAATATTTGTATCTGGCATGATTTGTGTTGTCAGAGGTTTGAAGAGCTGAGAACTGACTGGTGATGCCCTTTGCATTTATGGAAGGTAGAAAATAAAATATAGACAGGAGCAGGTGATAAAATGCCTGAATGTGAGAGGCAATCATTTAATCACATTTCAAGCTTTAGAAAGGTGGTATTTAATGACTTGTTTTGGAAGTAAGGATTCAAGCCACTGCTCTGAATATAGATTTTTGCCTTAAAGAAATAGCCAACTCAAGCTTTTCAAAACCATCCTGTTAGGTGGGAGGTTTTGTACAGTTTAGACAGAGGTACCACACACATTTTGAAACCTAAGATCAGCAAAATGTTAGTAGGTTAAATGTGCACCAGAAACCATGTCACATTTTTACCTGTGAACAGTATTCCTTCTGCCATTTAAATGTGTATTTATGCACAAAACCATAGGGCAGTTCTACCAAGCAGCAGAGTTGGTTTATATTGTTTGTTTTAACACATTTGACCTGACACAGAGCTCAGGTGATAGAACAAGGGGTTTGTTTTAATATAGGTGAGTGATGAAATGCAACCTCAACATAAGACCAACCAGGAAGAGTAATAATAATAATAATAATAATAATAATAATAATAATAGAATCAAAATATACTATTATTTGAATACAATAAATACTTTTTTACTTATGTGTGCATATACATACATGGATATACATATATCCTCCCATGCACATGGGAGGGTTGTGCACATTTGCTTGTGGAGGCCAGAGGACAACCTTAGCTGCTATTTCTCAGGAGCTATCTACCTTGTTTTGTAAGACAGGATTTCTTGTTGATCTGGAACTTGCAAAGCAGGCTAAGCTGATTGGCCAGGAAACTCCATGGATCCACTTGTATCTGGTACCTGCCTCCCTAAGTACTGGGATTAAAAGCCTACATCACAACATCCAGCTTTTTTTACATTCTGGGGATCAAATTCAGGTCCTCATCCTTGTGCGGGAAGCACATCACCAATTGAGGTATCAACCCAATCCCTGAGAATATTTAATTTTTATTAAAATTTTTTCTTTTATTATTTTTTGCTTATTTGCTTTTCTGAAAAAATGGGTTTTATGTCTGTAAAGTTTCAAAACATTCTTTTTTAATGTACTTTTATTGAATTTTTGTGCATTTCACAAATCTTAATCATATTTAGACACCACCTCCATCTGCACCCTCCACTAGCACACCCACAGAATTTCATGCATTCTGTCATATATGTTAAGGCTTATCGAGTCAAGTTTGTGTACCCAGATGCCCCTCAGTGTGAGTTCATCCAATGGACTC